GGCCGGCAAGGGATATCTGAAATAAGCGATCGCATCCTGCAGGATCCCAATTAAGCTGGGMCCCATGTACATTTGGAAGAAAATTTAAATAAACTGCTTATAAAAATTATTTCGATCAAGATGACTGAATTCCATTTGACCAATTAGTTGTTATTTCGGTTACCTTCGGGTCTCGGCCCGTGGTTAACGACCTTGCTCAAAGCAACGTAACACCACATCATGACTCTCGATACATGAGTAATATGTCTTGAGTTGTCATAAGGTATATTAAAAATTTAATTTATTTTTTATTTTTTTTATTTAAATCTGAATGTGATAGGCTGGGGAAACGTTCGTCTCCACTCTGCCAATCTAAACTTTAAATACCGATCTCATAAACTACCAGCGCTAAATTCKAAATTTTAACGTAATAATTAATAAAAAAAAATAGCTTTATTAATTTATGAAATTTTAAGTATATGTTACCATTTGAAAATCAAAAGTTGATAGTGGTTTATCTAATAAATATAAGGGTGAAAAATATAAAAAAAATAAACAATTCAAGAAGAGTGTAAATCTACAATTTTGAAAAAAAAAATTTGAAAAAAGTCAATACTTTCTTTAAATTATGAGTGTTGTTTGATAAAAGAATCACCTGTATTGTACACAACAATATGATATTACTTGGGACATGGCCGGGTGCGGCTTGTCGCGGGCGAGACGACGTCAACGTATGTGTTACATTATTTTGGTCGGTATTGGGCTAGGGCAAATGGATCGAATATCCCCTGGCAGTTTATTTTATGTATGTCGTAAAAAGTGAGTGAATAAAAAACAAAAGGGAAACGTATAGTACCTAGAGACCAATAATTGTTTTTATTTTATTTTTCGGACGATAAAAACGATCGCCCGCGGTCAGTTGGCATCGCAAGAAAAATACTATGTTAATAATGATGAAAGAAAAAACGGCATTGTCGAAATCGCATAATTCGTTTTTTATATAAAATCAGTGTCTATAGTACGTAAATATAAGTTTAGCTGTTGGTGGAAACATTTTGTAATGAGTACAGTCGGTGTTATGATATAATATTGCGGCGATGGCCGTCGATAGGAGTGGCGGCAGCGGCAGAGAAAATTAAAAGCGACACAAGGACGCAGTCTTGTATTACCTATACACACTGCGGGCGAGCGCTGCATGTAGACCTTTCAGGTTAGGAGGGGCGCGTACAACGAATCCAGAAAGTATCGAATTAATACTGTCATAAAATTGATAAATTTCAATGCGTAAGTAATTGAAAATTGAATTATCAAATGTTCTTGTAATAACGAGTTTTTTTTTGTTTTTAATGAACATCATAATATTGCTGTTATCCATGAAACTACATATAATGATACCACAGATTATATAAAATTTATATAATCTATGATGATACGTTTCTCGATAAGGGAGATTTTCAAATTTGACAAATTGTATACACAGGGTGTATAGTGTGAGTAATGTGCGATCATTATTCATTAGTGTTTACTAAAATGAATAAAATTGAAACGCCTATGGCTGAAAAATGGCGCGTAATACAATAGTGGTTGACGCGACGATGTGAATTTCACTGCATTTTTAAATATTCAACGATCCTACATGGAAAACTCCACCACAAAGACATTGAGAAAACGGCCGCTCAGATAGGTATTGTATATGCAGAAGCAGTTGCCTATACTACCCGCGTATAGTCTGTAATAAATAATAATCCATCATAACGACAATAATAGCATATGAAATACATCCATCGAAATCTCAGAACAAAATTTTCTATCCCTTAACAGGCGGGTATGTAATGTTGGAAAAAGAAAAAAACATATCTCACCAGTTAGTACTAAACCTACGGTGTTGAGATGAACGACAGCGAGCGACCATCTCCTCAAACGAGTATACAATAACAGTAAAATAAACATTATTATTATCAAAAGTAATAGTAGTAGTAGTAGCTGTTGTATAAGTTATAGAAGTATTTATTGTTGACGTGCGATAATATATTATTATCGTTGTACCGTCGAGTGTTGAGCGCAGCGAAATCTATTTGGACATGTAACAATAATGTTATACGGACTGATCGAATATAATATGTCTACTAGTTAATAATAATAACAAAAACAACAATCCGTTTGCAAGAAATAACACGTATAGAACACAGTACGTAACTCGGCTATATTAATTGTATTATTATTATTATTTATTATCGTGTCTTACGACCATTTATCCTTCTGCAGCGTTCGAATCAAATGCGAACAAACGGACGACTCATTGTACAACGCACACGTAAAGTCCGCGACCGAGACGGGAAACCAGCTTTTGAAAATCCATCAGGTGTCATCGTCACCGCCGCCACCGCATCGCGACGGATGAAAACTTTTACGGGTAAACGTCAATCGGTTATAGGCATAGACCTATAAAAGAATGGACCGCGCATAGAGAGAGATCCGTGAATCAAAGATATGTGYGAGAGAGAAAGGGCTATGTTAGAAATACCAAAGACRATATAAGCAAAAATATATTAATTAGTCTTTGAAATATTTTATTTTCRTGCCATTACATAATATTATTATTATTGAACTATTGAAGTAGTTCTATTTCTGTATACCAGTATACCTGTATTGTTTTGGGCAGTATTATATTTTAATCTATAGTATGTCTGTAATATGTGAATATTTCAAGATTAAGGTAAGTTACTTACTAGTTACTACCACTATAATTATTATATTATACGCTATATTATATTATTCTTTTATAGGTCTCTGGTTATAGGTATACGAGGTATAGAGGTGGTTTTAACCTATTGGGTACTTCGGCCTATTAATTTATGTTACTCGCGTCAGTGTGCCAGTTTTTTTTTTTTATTTATCTGTTTATTTTCAGATATATTTTTTGCCACGTTATTGGTATTTTTTATATATATACTATCTATACGCACCGCAAGCTAAAGAGATTTGTAAGTCTGGAAATGATAAAATATTACGATACGTCACCGTCATGTCAGTCACAGCGCGGACGTGTTTGTCACCGGCGAGCACCGCAAATGAATAATAAAATTAATAACGCGTCACAGCCGATGAAGAAGAAAAAGAAGAAGAGACAAACACACATCGCGAATTATTTGTCTCGCGTGCTATGATTAATAATTATTCGATATTCATGCAGTGCATGGCATTTACTAGCCCCTCCMAGAATCGGCGAGACTGAAATACATCATAATATTGCATGTAGGACATTTCCCTCTGTACATTTTTCAAGGCTTACATTATCTCCCCATATGATAGTGTTAAAATGATAACAAGTATCTATATTATTATTTAGAAATAAGTACTTAGCGATAACAAGGAATCTCAGGTCTGACTTTTTACAAAATGCGATATTTAAACATATGAACAAGTAGGTAGGAATTTTTTTTATTAATTATTTATTGTATTTCTTTGAAGTTTTATTTTTACTTGGTTTGTTCTAAACATAGCCTATTTATTTTTTTTAACCTAATACTCGTATTACTTTTTATTATATCAATTGTATCAAATACGCAATGATCAATCGACATTAAAATACGTATAAATAAATAAATAATTAAAGGTAATTATACTGATGAAAATGTATTAAATTTTATTTTATTACACACTAAAAAAAAATTAATTATTTCATATTCAATTACGTATTTGTTTTTAATATTTCGGGCGAATTGCCCATTAACTAGTCATATTATAATATTATAACGACCCTAAATGATAATAATATGACTGTTGCCAGTCATTATTATCTATTTAATACAAAAAAKACAGATTGACGGTGGCAGTGAGAAATTTTTGAAATTGGCAATATAATTATGAAAGAAAAGAAAAGAAGTGAAAACGCATTGGGTTTTCGAGACCGTTACAACGACGACGTCTGTCTGAATTTTTGTTATTGCATTCTCGACCATTACTCATGAAGACACAAACATTATAAAAGTATTGATAATATGGGCTCGGTTATATTTATGTGATAATATGCCATCTCTAAAGTACTATAATATATACGTTGTACCTTGTGCAGTGTSACCCAAAAGTCACAAATCACCCCCAAGCAGCCAGCGGGACCACGTGAAACATTGATAATATTATATTATATTCACAGGYYTCCGTTGTATAAAAAAAAACATTTAGATTAACAATTTTATCATATATTAATTTGCCACTGAGACAATCAATGGGTGATATGGGACTTTTGAGACATAGGTATTTACACTTGCACTATATCTAAGTACTGTACCTAGGTACTTCACAAAACACGTAAAACTTATACGTGAGTTTTCCGGTAAAATCGACCGATTTAATACTATAACAAAACATATTAGGTATTACTGTCGTAATGATGTTATCGTACATGGGTAACGGACAACCCGGAAATGAAATACAAAACATCCTGGGGATGAAGGTTATTGTTATTAAATATTATTATACTATTATTAAATGCATGTGTAAAGTAGTGCCTACAACTGATATCGAAAATATGTTTGTATAACTGTAAACTAATTATTATTAAATAATTTACTATTTCTAACCGATTAACCAGTGCTTGAAATCCAAAAAATTATTCGGAGTTTAGGGCAAGGGGTAGAATAAAAATGAAAAAGAAATACAATAGTCTCTCACAAATATTATGGGTCAAACTTGTGGTGACAGTGTCCTTTCGTCCGGCTCCTATCGCATAGACAAGTTGGGTAGCAAAAATATTAATGTTATTACCGAGTTGGCAAAAAAAGCACAAATTACGCAACCGAAACGGACACGGAGGAACCGACCGCGGCACTGATGGCACTTCCGGTTTTCGGGAACGCGGGCTTGCGCGCTCGACATGATATTTTTTATACTATTATGTGAGTGACTTACACTCCAACAGGCGGGTAAGCAGGCACTTTACGCATTTCATATAACAATACGGACACACGGGTTTTATATACATAACACTTAAGTATAATATGTGGGCGGTTTGTACTCACGTGCCAAGCAGGTCTTTGACGTCGTACTTGTCTTCGATGGACTGCGACTTTTCCGCGTCCTTCTTCGTCTTCTTCGACACGTCTTTTTTGCCAAACAGCGGCATGGCGGACAAGAGAGTGATTAGGTACTCCAATTACACTTTGCCAGGGAAATTGGTGAGCGAGGATGCTATTTGGCGAAMGGGAAAAACGATGCGAGAGGAATAAAAAATTCTTCACGACGGCATGACCAACGGCCAAGGAGTTATAGACAATATTCGTCGCGCGTGGTAAACGGACGGGTTCAAACACGAAGTTAAAAACAGATAGGTATACAATTTACGGTCAATGGGTGAACGGACTTTTGCTGTTCACGATCGGCGACAGTATTAACAATAATAAATTATTGTAATATGAAATTATTTTGTTGTTGTTTTTGTAGACGCGAACGCGTGAACTGAGGTTAATGCCGAGAGATGACCGTCGTCACGTCAGTGCGGTACGGCTGACGCGATACCACTGTCGAGTGTTGGGCAAACAATCGTCGTGGAGTAGGCGGCGACGGCGGCGGCGTACCGAACTGGCGCGCTGCTGCTGCCGTTGGCTGAACTTGGTGGGAACCGCAAGTGAGTTGTCTACCTATA